CCCCCCCCCGCCCGGGGCTGGGGCTCGGTGGGGGGACGCCCGGGGCCCCCGGCTTGGCCGGTTCCTCCCTGCCCCGGGGAGGTGGCTCGGGGGTGGGAGACGCGGCGGTTCGGGGTGCAGGGCCGGGATCCCCACGCCGCAGCAGGCTGGACTGGTTTCGGCGGGTGGGAGCCGGCCTCCATCCTTCCCCACCCGGTTTTACAGCCTTCATTGCCCCAACGCGGCGGGCGGGGCCCCGGGGGGGGGGGTGCGGGGGCAGAGCACACCTGGGGCCCCTCCTCGCAGCCCCCCCCGCTCTGAGCTGGGTGGGGGGCAGCAAGGTGAGGCTGAGCCCCGAGCCCCGGCATCGCCATGGGACACCCTCCCCAGCCCACCCTTGGGGTGCCCCCAGCCAAACATGCCGGAGCCCCCGACTGCTGCCAGAGCCAGGCTTGGCTACCAAAATCTAGGAGGGGGGGCCACCGACGTGATGCTGCGGCACCCTGGGGAGGGTCCCGAGTCCCCCCGGGGTCCCCTCGGGAGATGAAATCCCAGCTGGGGGCACTGAAGGGGAATTCTGTGCTGGAAAAGGCAAATGCCGGAATCGGGGACATCCTTCAAGAGCTGCGGGCAGCCCAGGTCACCCGAGTCCTGCGGTGGTGGGACAGTGGTGGCCATGCTGGGGCTGGGGACACGTCCCTGCGGACTCCCCCAGCGAGACTTCACCTCGTGCTGGGTTTCTCCAGCCCCACAGCTCATCCCTGGCCCCACGGCGCGCTGGGGCTGCCATCGGCCCCTCGTGCACCGATGGGGACAGGGACAGGGATGGGGACGGGGACAGGACCCTTCGAGGGGTCCTATCCCCTACTCCCCATCCATAAGGCCCACGGCCACAGCTTCGGCCCAAGACGTCCACTCTGCCCAAGTGGCAAAGCCTGGCTTCACCTTAATAAAATAATAATTATTAATAATAATAATAATTAATAATTAATAATAATAATAATAAAACAATCAAAACCGAAGGCCTTGGGGCGCCCTTTGGGCACGGACCCCACTTGACTTCACCTCCACCCCTTCCCCCCCCCGGACCCCAGGGTGCTCCAAGCCCAGGCAGCCCCTGCAGCCCCGGACTCGGCCCCCCCCAGGGCCCCCAGGATGGGACCATGCTGGGAGATTGGCCCCCCCAAATCTTCCCCCCCTCCCCAGATTCCCAACTGGTGTGAACTGGTGCCAACTGGGGGGCAGAGCCAGGGGAGCCCCGGGTGCCCCGAGCAGCCTGCGAGCCCAATCCCACCCGGCCCCAGTGCTGCCCCCCAACACCCCCCTCCCCAGGTCCCAGGTTCAGCATCTCCTTCTGTGTCCAAGGGGTTCTGCCAAAATCGGGGGGATAAGACCCAAAAGGTCTAAAAACCAAGTTTTGTGGACCGCCAGCCAGGGGTGAAGGACAGATACAGGGTACCCTGGGGAAAGGGGGTGGCCCCAGGGGAGGAAAGTTAGGGGGTCCCTGGTGGGGGATGCCCTGGGGTGTCCCTAGGAGATACAGGGACGTGGGAAGGGACAGTTATGGGGTCCCCGGGGGGACAGGCAGCATGCATGGGGGGACAGGCAGACGTCCCCTGGAGATACGGGATCCCGGGGAGGAATGGCTACGGGGCCACAGGGTGATGGGCAGCATGCATGGGGGGACAGCGGGGGTCCCCTGGAGATACGGGGTCCCCGAGGGACCTGTAGCATGCACGGGGGGGATGGCTGTGGTCCCCAATGGGGTCCCCAGGGAGGGATGGCCACAGGGTGCCGGAGGGGGAGGCGGGGGTCGCAGGGCGTCGGGCAGCATGGCCGTGCCAGGCCAGAGGAATGTGGCCGCCCCGGCTCTCCCGGGGCCGCGGCCGCCTCGTGTGCTTCCCGCCCGGGGCCGCGACGGCGGCGGTGGGTGTGGGAAAGCTGCAGGTGTGCGCTTGGGCAACTGCCTGCCGCCGCGCCACGCGCCCGCCGCGGCCCCCCACGGCCCCCCCCACAGCTCACATTCAAGCAGGACTTCTTTTTTCCCATTTTAGCCTCCATTTGGGCCAAAAAAACAGGGGGTCGCACCTCCAAGAGCCCAGCCAAAGCGGGGCTCTAGGGATGCGGGACTCCCACCAAGCCAAGCATCCCCAGGTGGGGCTGGGGACCGTGGGCACCCCTTGAGCCCCTGTGTGCCCCCCTGGGGATGACAAAACCTCATGGGTGGCAAAAGAGCGGGGCTGGTGTGGGGGAGTCGTGCCCGGGACGCCAAGGGTTTGGGGGGGACCACGGGGAGGGGGCCTGGAGGCTGCAGCCGCCCTCCCCTAGCAAAGGCTCCCGGGTTTCTCCTTTCTCCCTTTCTCCTTCTCCTTCCTCCCCTTTGGGCTGGACGTGCCCAGGCAGCGCCTGCTCCTTCGGCTCCCATTGATGTTCCTCCCAAACAGCCCCGCCGCCTGCCAGCAGCCTCCCGAAAAAAAAAAAAAAGATTTGGGAAGCCGGGGGAGGACGGGGAGGACGGG